ATTTATTTAAATATATTAAAATTTAAAAAAAATAGATCATAACCATATTTATGATAATTTTCCAGACAAATTTGCCTGGAAAAGCCTACAGTTTAAGAGATAATAAATATTATTATATATATAATTAATATAAATAGATATTAATGATTATAATAAAGAACTTTATTTATTTATTTACTAATTATTGTTAAAGTGCCATCACTATCAAAATGTATATAAACTAAATACAGAATTTTTAAGGATTTGAAAATTTCTATTCACAACTAAACGATATAAATTAAAATATATATTAAATAAAAGATGCTTTTTGATTACAAAATAAGCACATTTTATTTGCTATATAATTTTATATTATTATTGTTTAGTTAATAAAAAATTAATATTAAAAATTGCTGTTTGGCTCTTTGATATTTTTGATCTTTTTTATTATACCATTTAATAATATCTTTTTTAAAAATATTAGTTCTCTAAATAAAAACCATTATCAAATTTGACCATCTTATATAATTTGCAAAATATTTAAAATATTTTAACTATTCTTAAGTTTTTAACCAAGAAGAATAAAAACTTGTTAAATTTTATGATTTTTTTTGATTTTGAATTTCTAATTTATCAGTAATTTTACATTTGCTTTAATCTTTTATGTTTGAGTCTAAAATCTAAATTACATAAATCAGACTTTCATAATAAATTTTTATAAAGTTTGCTTTATTATTATCTTCAATAATAAGTATATATAAACTATTAATTTTATATACTGTTATATTTTAGTATTAGTACACAAACTTGTTTGCTAAACAGTTTAAGAAATAAAAAGTAAATTATCACCATTGTTGATCTATAAAGTTACATAAATAGCTAATTCAAAGAAATTATTAATGATATTACAATTAATAACAACTACATTCGATAATATATATTTTTTTTGCTTGAGCATGTGATCACTATAATCGAAGATATAATTTTAACCTCGTAATAATGAACTACAATTGTGCAATTTACAAAAAAATTTTTTTGTAATTTTTGTGCAAAAAACAGGCCGTATATTTAAATATTAAATTAAATTTACATTTTTTTAGCACAAGTATCTAACAAAAGTGCATATAATTTTTTTTAACTTGAAGCTCTCAACTAGTTCTGCATGGTAATAGAGCTATTTTTTGATTAAGTTTTCAAAAAAGTTTGTATATTAAAATTAATTAAATAATTAATCTTTAATACTTATATAATAATTGAACGATTTTGATAAATTATTGAAAAAAATAGCTCTATTACCGTGTAGAGCTGGTTGAGAGCTTCAAGTTAAAAAAAAAATTATATGCATTTTTGTTAGATACTTATACTAAAAAATGTAAATTTATTTTCATAATTATCTAGTATAAATCGTCGAAAGAATTAATTAACGAGAATGTCGAAATTTAACCATTAATAAATCCGAAATTAATGATCTTCCCTAACTAGAGCTTGGATCCGGTCATCCGTTTTCATTTTACTACGTATTAAATTTGCATCCAACGAATAACCGGATCCAAGCTCTATCCCTAACCAGTGATTTTAGGTAGCGTTGTGCATGTATTATAAAAATCCGAAATTAATGATCTTCATATATTTATCTTAGCTAACGTTTGATTTAATTAGTTTAGGCCACGCCCTAACGTGACTCGTTATTTTTTTTCAAGCTAAAAAAATTAGGCGATTGACAAGACCAGACCAAATAAGCTCGAGGCAGTCGAAACATACAACAATACCTCTAAGTATCACCAGAAGAGAATAGATCAACAAAATTGGATGCAATTAGTAATGAGCAGACAATATCTGAATTTGATAGCGAAGGACTATAAATATCAAATGATAATAAACGTATTGTCACAAAAAGCCTTTTTTGATCACGTGCAGGTGAATGAAAGCTTAAGTGACAGCTAGAGTTGTTAATGGGTTGGGTTGATCAAATTACACCAAATTTATAGACATTCTTTTAAATCCAATCCAGCTTGAGTTGTTTCAACCCGGAATGGTACCGGAGTATAATGCACCATTAACAACCCTAGTGACAGCAATGATGAAGAACGTTCTGATGACATTATCAGACCGATAATATTTTGGAATGATACCCCGACTGGTTTCCAAACTTTAATTCTGTAAAAAATACATGTACGTAATTTTAGTATAATATAAAGATAACTGAAAACACAATTATTTACTTATTATTTTATTATTATTATTATTATTATTATTATTATTTACTACGATGCAATCTGATTTATGGCAATAATGTTTTTACAAATTAGCGAAACTGCCATATCATTTGATTATTAAAAATAAATAACTTGTAAATAACATTTCACTTAGCTGCCTCTTGTATCTTTTCTATCAATATAATAGTATCCTTTTTACTATCTTCGATTACCCTTCCTTTTTGAGTTTTACATTCACCACCATCACCAGTGATTCCACTATCCTTATTTCCGTTATTATTTTCATCATCTGTATGTCCAAAGATTTTTTGTCTTGCAGCGAAATATTCTGCTTCACGATCAGCGAGTGATTTGATTTGCTTTGAATTTATCGAAAAACTGCCGGAATCACTGGTGAGAGTAGCATTAGAATTTAGTGATATCGGTAAATGAGAAGGATGTGTAGTGGTTGTAGATCCAGGATTCTTGGGACGTTTTAAAATTCGAAGCTGATTTTTCCCAATTAGTGATTGATCAGTATTAGGAAATACGATATTAATATCAAATAAATTTTTATGAATAAAAAAAAACAGCATATAAATAATTTTTTATACTTGTGGTACATATTCTGTTCGGGTTGAATCTGTTCGAGTAATTTCTGGTTGCACGTAAGAATTTCTATCAATTGAAAGACAACTTAAATCAACTTTAAAACAAAATATAAAAACGGGGTTAAAGAACATTTTTGCGTACGCTTCTTGCCATATTTGTTTATTTTTTTCGTGGTCATCGAGCGTCCCAACAGGTTTTGGCTCTAGCTAAAATAAGGTGTATAATTAGAATTTTGATGCATCCAAGACTTTGAACATTTTGAACATAAAACTACTAGAGTTCTTACACCGGCATCGGCAGCTGCCTCCCAGTCGTCCCAAGGGTCGTCTGCCATTTTAAGATTAAATTTAGTTTTTTTTTTCAATATCCTTTTGTACGTATATCAATTGCTGCGCCAATTACATGAATTAATGTGGGCATACTAATTGTCTAGAAATTAGAGAATTTAAAATTATCATCAAAACTAACCCTAAATTCTTAGCTATAAACAAAACACCCTAAAAAAATTTAAATTTCCAGCTTCAGCCGCGACACTAATTAACGTGTCACACCAATCAAATGGCGAATTTATAGCTGACATCCTGATCTCATAAATAAATAAAGATGAACACTATAAGTTGTTAATTGACATCTAATCGATTGAACTTTTTAGACACCAACTAATCGATCAAGCGATCATTTGCAACTCGTCGATTAATCGTAATCGATTTGTAACACCAACACCGTCCTCCCACTATCATAGTAATATAGACTACATAAGAAGCTCGTCTGAGTGGTTAATTTTTATAATTTAAACAACGGTATTACTGTACTGTACTAAAATGCATCATACAATACAGCAACCTAGTCCGACAAATAAATTCAAATTAAACGAGCAATTTGGCCGCTTAAAATATACTATATATATATTAATTAAGCAAATTTGGCCACTTTACATATTAAATTTAGCCGCTCTATATGCTAAATTTGACCACTATATATTAAATTGACTATGTTAATAATTTGGCCACTTTATTAAAATTTCAAATTTGACCATGCCATATACAGTCAGACTTTTTTAAATGCATAGCCAAGGGGTTGCATTTAGGGAGGCAAAAATCTATCCACAATTTACGTTAAACCAATAATGCATTGTATAAGAATAGGGGCCTTTTGTATTGTCTTTAAGATTCCTATAACAATACTGATTTAACGTAAATTGTGGATGCCGCCTAAGCGTTATATGAGTTGGGCATTTAGAGAATATGCACTTAGAGAGGTCTGACTGTATATAAAATTAAAATTTAAATTTGGCCGCATTTGTTAGGACTAGGTTGTTCGTAATGCTATATCTCACACTGTCTAATTGATCGAGGCCAGGTATACTAAGTAAAAATGCTCAAAGCCTCTAACTAAAATTTGAACCTTTATATCTGATCTCAATCTGTAATTGTATTCTAACTCTAAATTTTAGCAAAAAAACTTAACACTATACATAAACATCATACGTATACGTATCTAATTAAAAGGAAAATCATTGCGCAAAATATTACAGTCAAAACTCGTTCACTATCACCGTGATTATATCGAGGTTTGACTATATAATGCAAAAAACCTTTCGCTATTTCAAAATATTTACTATGTAAAAATTCGTTATCTCGAGCTTTATTTATACGTAATAAATAACTAATAGCGATAGAGTTACTAAATATATAGTAATAAATTTTATTACGTACGAAAAATTTCGTACCGCAAGCAACGTCCAGGTATTAACTTCAAGCATGACATCAATATTACGAAATTAGCATGGAAAATAATAGGCAAATATTATTATTATTGTAAGTTATTTGGATTTTGTAGAAATTCTTAAAAACTATTTATTTTATTCGCGTTGATTAGTCTGAGCATAAATGTTATTTGTATTTTAAATTTATGAGTCGCACGAATAACGCGTAGCGAATATAATACGGGTGATGAATGGTGTGGGGCATGATCAATCACTTATCAATCGACCATACTCAACAAAATTTTTTTTTATGATCGGTCACGATCAAACAAATCAAAATGATCGAATTGATCATCATTTCTAGTCAGAAGAAGAAAGTACCGACTCCTGTATAAATGTGAACAAAAATTTTTTAATACATATAATAAAATGACAGATAATAAATGATAAGAAAAAATTAGTAGATATATACATCATCGGAATCAGACGCCTCATTAATTGATTCGTTTGTATGATCCATTATATCAAGACCATCTTCACTAATGTCATCACTACTGCTTTCAACATAAACAGTTTCAACCCCATTTGTTGTTACAGCTCCTTGAGTTTTCCGCATCGCTATCTGTTGCATTATTAAATCTAGACGTCCCTGAAAATTCAACAATTTTTGGAATACAGCCGATCGAGAATCCAACGCTTGATAAAAATTTGAGAGTTTATGAGTTAGATCAGGTACCTGAATGTGAAAAAAACAAGTGAATTTATTACGATGAAATCAGAAAATTTAAACGAAACTCATGTTTCGTAAGAGTGAATAATGAATAACGTACAGTCATAAGATAAGTCATATGTATCAATGTCACAGCTTTTATCCATTGTAACATATTCATTACGGATCTAGGTTTTTCATAAAATCTTGTGATCACCTTTTCTAAGAAAGGTATGATATACCTTGTAGGTAATTTCCTAACGGTGTTGTTAACAATATCTGGGCTTGTTTGTTCTAAAACCAAACAAAAAAGATGATCATCATTTGAATGTAATGCTTGAACTAACATTTGCTGCATAGAATTTCCTTGGAGTGTTTTAAACTTTGATGCGTGAGATGATTGTTGAGACATTTCAGAATCCACACTCATCAAATCAAGATCTTTCAACTTTGTTTCTAACGTTTCTTCCTAATTAAATATAATTATCATTATGTAAAAATAAACGCGACATTTATAACAATCAATATATATATATATATATATAAAATATAATATACCCGAGTTGATGAATTTTGTGTCAATGAATATTGAATAGGCTTATCAATTTCTGTGGGAGGTTTTGGTATTTCGTAATTTGAACTACTCAGCACATTGGCTTTTGATTCATTGTATGGGTTTTGTGTAGCAGCCTTTTGTAATTTGTTAAATTTGTACAAATTAGAACTTTGTGATTACATATATGCAAGAATCTTTTAATAAAGTATATTCAAATTCACCAAATTTTTTGCCGCCAAACTTGATTCATCTACTAATAAACTGGTTGATGGATTACGTATTAATGTTACACTTGGTAAGTACTCTCCACTTTCTTTATTGATAAATCGCTAATTATTTGGTGCATTGTGTGGCATTAGGATTAATCAGAATGGAAAATTAGAATGGAAAATTAGAATGGAAAATTATTAAAGAAGTTCTGAAAAAAAAAAACATACCACTTTTTCGAAAATAGGTTTTACTGTATTCCCTCTGGCGATCATTATAAATCCACTTTCTTCATTTTCATTTTCGTTCAAAAAACATGCAGAAATAATTGGTATTACAGTGTTATCATTTTCATTTAAAACCTTAATTATACAATCAGGCGTTTGTGTTGTAAATCGTTTTTTCTTTTTATTTAACTGCACGGGAGAGCGGGAATTCACATCTCTGAAAATATTTATAGTACCCGTTTCAGAAATTGCCAGAATGGCATTAAATTTAGATATCGAAAGACCTCTTGTATCCTCATCCAAAGTAAGTGCTGAAACATTTTACGTAAAGAAATAATACATTAAGTATCAATCGGATGGATATCAGTGGCGTAGTTTAATCATTAAGCAAATAAATGAACATTTATTACCAGCAAAACCAACACCTTGTGGCTCATTTCCATGACATTGCCAAATATTTATGAACCTATCATGCTCTGCGGTCGATACGCAGAGATCATCACTTGTTGAGAACATAATATTAGTTATTATGCTTACGTGTCCCGTGAAACTCTTGAGAACCTGCTTTGATCGTAAATCCCACAATTTGATGGTATGTCCTGCGGATAACAATTTGGTCTCATCATGCGAAAGTGTAATAATATATTTAGTCGTTTGGGTGTCAACCTTCCATTTACTGTTGCAATATATGATACGTGTCAGTTAATAACTAATAGATGAATTAATCTATCCTAACCTACAAGTACCTAATTACATCCCCTTTTTCAAAATCCCATTCGACAATGTACGCGTCTTCGGCGCACGAATAAGCTTTTTTTCCATTTTTAGAAAAAACAAAGTTGTTAATCGGTAGCTTATGTGAACCACTCAATGTTTTTACAATGCCTCCGTGAGCAATTGAGTAAATAGCAATAGATCCATTCTGTAGTCCAAGAGCGATAACTTTGCTAAATTGCTGAATTTGTGATGATAATTTCTTTTTCTTTTTTGGTGGAGGAGTATCCTAAAGTGAGGATAGTTTCATTAGTATATAAATTATTAATGTATATATAACGAGGAAAGTGAAAGGACTTATGCGTGCCTTGTACGACTTACAACTTTGCCATTCAAATCCTCGTCATATACTTTTCCCCAAGACAAGCAGGTGAATTTATCTTCTTTATCCGAAGAAAACTCATTGTTAACTGTACCCGTATGCGTGTCAAATACCCTGAGACGGTGACGATCTACATTTTGAGTGACTAATGCAAAAAAATCTGTAGCAGGTAAATCAAAGCTTGCTAGAAGTGATTCAGTTTTAATGGAATTCGTTGTTGGGTGTGTCTCACTAATGGCTGTGTTAAAATTGTTTAAATTGTTTCTTGGCTTATTCTTCGTCTTCCCCATAATTTTAGAAAAAACTACGAAAGTTATGGTTTACCAATCGCAAATAACTTCTTTTTTTTTTTTTTTGTATGTACGTGCGTAGATAATCAGCGAACTATGATTGGAGAAAAAATTTGCCTTTTTGGTATGTCTTTGGCACTCAGGGGAATATGTCACATGGTATATATATGAGTGGTAAAATTTTTAAGATTTGTTACTATTACGCTTTGATTCTAATCGAACCACATAAATCTAAAGATGTTAAAAACATCGTTCAAGTAATGTCGTTCTGCGGCTTTCGATTTGTTAACAACGAAAGTTTAACAAATAGTCTTTATGTGATTCCAGACTCAAAGTTTACCATCTGTGGAATCTTCGCAGTGGAAATCTAGATCTTGATTAGCAAAATAAGGTTTAAACATGGTTTAAGGATTGGCCCTCAGGCCGGTCCATTTACAGCTGTTCTTATAATTTTGGGTTCATTATCTTGGTATACTTGCGACTAACACTTTTCTGCCTTAATCTTGTGCCAAGTTAACGCGAACAATGATGTGCATTACCTTCTATATAATTAAATTTTAGGGTTTTATTTACTTTGCAAAGGCACATAGTTTTCTGTGCCAAGTTATATCGATCATCAAGTAAAGAATAGAATTTGGATTTTCGAGCATCGGTCAAAAGTTTTGACCACATATCGAGTTTTTTATTCGTTGGTTTCATATTACGTTCTAGAAATACGTATCATTACGCCTAATAAATTTTATAACGTTCTCTTCGCACTTATGACATTTTCTGCGTCCGAAATAAGCGTCCACTTTGCATGTCAAAAAATTTTTGTTCCATTTCATACTTAAAATTGGAAAATGCCGTTTTTGTATTGAGGTTCTTTGCCATCTTTGTTGGTTACTATGATCGAATCAAAGTGTTGTCAAACCCAGGACCGTTTTTTAGACCCACCATGTATCTCTTTTTTTTTTAAAAAAAAAGAACTACTAATAACAGTCTCCTCTATATTAGATTGTGGTTCTCTACAAGCCGAGATATTAATACAATTAGATTCGTTCTCTTCGTTATTAGAAGAGAACTCTACAAGAACACTGACAAAAGATACAGTCAGTATCTTTATTCAATATTAAATCAATTTCCATGTTTTTCGAAATTTTTGATCGCAAACTTTGTGATTGGTATTTAAAAGACATCTAAAATTTCAAGATAATTTGAAAACTAAACCGTAGTTAGCTTGGTAAAACAATGTTTTTTCGTTATACATGTTATACATGGTCTTTGAATTTTATAGACTATAGTTGTTACGAGGGATTATTGAAATTAAAAATTTTAAAACTACCTAATCGAAACGAAACCGTATACGTAAGTGTGAATTTTCTCAGGCCCGGACTGTCCCGGCCCGCAAAATTTACTGTAAAATTTTCAAAATTTTTTGCCCGCCCGGGCCATGGGACCCAATCCAATGCGGACCTCTACTTTAGATTAGTGGAGCATCCATAATTCAGCCGATCGACCAAAATTTAGGGTCGGAATAGGCCGGAATTGATCAATTTCTCCCCAAATCAACCAAAATTTTACTAATGAAATGGTAGCCCACGTACTAAGTAAAGCTGCCCAGATGATAATTTTGCTGTAATATAGTTCTTAATGCCGGCCTAGCTCCGGGCTTATTCCGACCCTAAATTTTGGTCGATCTGCTAAATTTTGGTTGCTCCACTAATCTATTTACTTTAGACGACC